AGTAATTTAGAACATTCACTACCCAAGGATGCTTCCACATAAGTTTCAGCTTTTCTGGCCCAGTGGTTCTTAAAAAGAAGATTTTCAAAGATTTTGCCTATATATTTCAATGTAAAACTTTGATTCCCTATTGTGGCCCCGCCCTACCCCCAGGGGCCATGATTTGAACACACTACCCAAGGATGGTTCCACATAAGTTTCAGCTTTTCTGGCCCAGTGGTTCTTAAGAAGATTGTCAAAGATTTTGCCTATATATTTCAATGTAGAACTTTGATTCCCTATTGTGGCCCCGCTCTACCCCCTGGGGCTATGATTTGAACAATTTAGAATCTTCACTACCCAAGGAAGCTTCCACATAAGTTTCAGCTTTTCTGGCCCAGTGGTTCTTAAGAAGAAAATTTTCAAAGATTTTGCCTATATATTTCAATGTAAAACTTTGATTCCCTATTGTGGCCCCGCCCTACCCCCAGGGGCCATGATTTGAACAATTTAGAATCTTCTCTACCCAAGAATGCTTCCACATAAGTTTCAGCTTTTCTGGCCCAGTGGTTCTTAAGAAGAAGATTTTCAAAGATTTTGCCTATATATTTCAACGTAAAACTTTGATTCCCTATTGTGGCCCCGCCCTACCCCCAGGGGCCATGATTTGAACAATTTAAAATCTACACTACCCCAGGATGCTTCCACATAAGTTTCAGCTTTTCTGGCCCAGTGGTTCTTGAGAAGAAGATTTTTAAAGATTTTTCCTATATATTTCTATGTAAAACATCGATTCCACATTGTGGCCCCGCCCTACCCCCGGGGGTCATGATTTGAACAATTTAGAATCTACACTACCCTAGGATGCTTCCATATAAGTTTCAGCTTTACTGGCCCTGTGGTTCTTGAGAAGAAGATTTTTTAATGACCCCACCCTATTTTTGTCTTCTCTTGATTATCTCCCCTTGTGAGGGGACTTGGCCCTTCATTTTAAAAATTTAAATTTCCCTTCACCCAAGGTTGCTTTGTACCAAGTTTGGTCAAAATTGGCCCAGTGGTTCTTGAGAAGAAGTCAAAAAAGTGAAAAGTTTACAGACGGACGGACAGATAGACGGACAGACAGACGGACAGACGGACGGACGGACGACGGTCAAAATGTGATCAGAAAAGCTCACTTGAGCCTTTGGCTCAGGTGAGCTAAAAATGTGGGAGCAGAAGATGGCCTAGGTGAATTTAGCAGAGGAAATACTCGGCTTCAGGAAAGCCAAAAGCAAGCCTTGGATCAGCAAAGACACCTGAAAGCTGATAGACTTCAAGAAGAGATATCAAGGCAAAGAGAGAGCACAAGATCAGAAAGAGTCAAGACCAGATTGAGAAAACTTACAAACTTACAGAGAGAAAGACAAAGCATTTAATAAAAGTTTGAGAGAGGACAAGAGGATGGCAGAGAAAGCCTAGCGAGCACAGAAAGCGACCTAGAACGGGAAGCAAAAGGAACTGTACAGCATCGTAAAGCAGCTGACAGGACAGAGTATCAGACAAACAGCAGCAGTGAGAAGCAAGGATGGGGAGCTCCTGAAGAATAAAGAAGCAAGGATTGCCAGATGGAGGGAACACTTTGAGGAAGTGCTCAAAAGGGACACTCTAGAGTCACCATCAGAAGACAACATGAAGAGGGAGAAGAGCAGGACATCTCAGTCAAGCCACCCAACACACAGGAAATCAGGGTTGCAATGAAGGCGCTTAGGAATGGGAAGACCAAGAGAGCAGATCAAATATAAGAGCAGAAATGTTAAGGTAGATCTCGATTAGACCAGGCAGCAACTGAAACACACCTTTGACCAGATATGGAAGGAAGAGAAGAAGCCAAGGAATGGACCTAGGGACTGATCTGCAAAATCCCCAAGAAAGGCAAGCTACAGGACTGCAGCAACTGAGAAGGGTGGCCTTGCTGCCCTTAACCAGCAGTGCTCATCAGAATCCTCATCAACAGAAAACAGGCCTGAATTGATCACACCTCTAGGAAAGTGCAGGCTGGGTTCCGGAGAGGGAGAGGGATTTTAACCTGGCCTCGAGACCATAAACTGAGAACAGACTTGAGTCAAAATTTTGAATTTGAATAGCTTGTCATTTATACATGTAATACATAAGTTATCAAAAATTTGCAGGTTTGTAAAATATTTCAATTTAAACATGTGGTAAAATATTTGTTTTGTTATCAAAATTATTTCAGAAGTTATTTTAATTTGAAATTTTAACTTAAGTCTGTTCTCAGTTTATGGTCTTGGGGCCAGATCTTCATCCTCAGGAACTTCCTGGAGCAAGCCAACAAGTGGAAGGCTCCCCAGTACATCCATTTTGTAAACTTCGAGAAAGCGTTCGACTCGGTGCACAGAGGCAGCATTTGGGTCATCATGAAGAAATATGGAATATCCAAAAAACTGATTCAGATGTTCAATTTTTCACTCATATGGAGACGCCACCACTTGCCGGTGGAGGGCTGCAATTTTTGACTTATATACTTGGCACATAGGGCCATTGAGCAGTGAGGGATCTTTTTTGTGCCAGCACCTACTGCGACACGGGACCTCGGTTTATACGGTCTCACCCAAAGGACCGGCCTCCAAGTCCTGCAGTGGATTCGAACCCGCGACGTAAGGATCTACTCTTTACATCATGACTCTACAGCAAACGCTCTCATCACTGCGGTACGCGGGCGTACTTCTGGAGATGGCAGGAGCAGAAAACATCAGTGGAGAGGTGAGGAGGAGAAGATGGAACTGGATCGACCATGTGCTGAGGAGGGATCCAAGGATGAGTGTACTGTTGTCCTCAGGTGTACGCCTGAGGAGAGAAGGAAGCGGGCCGCCCCAAGACAACATGATGGCGAGGTGAAGCAGGACGATGCAGGCTGGAGCTCCTGGAACGCGGCACACCGTGCAGCCTCAGAAAGGTGTCCAAGCCCTGTGTTCCTCCTGGCACACAAAGAATTTAGGTTAAGGTAAGGAATCTGTGGTCCATAATTTGATGGGAATCAACACAACTTATAATGTTTACAAATTAATGATTCTTTTGTGGTTCTTGAAAAGATTTCTTAAAAATTTTCCCATGCAAAGCGTTGATCTCTTATTGTGGCCACACCCTAGCCCCCCCCCCCCCCTCCCGGGGCAATAATTTGTACACTGCCTCAGAAATCTTTCAAATAAAATTAATCTTTTCTGGTCCAGTGATTTTAAAAAAGATTTTAAATATATAAAGATTTCCAATATATTTCAATATAAAACTTTGATCCACTATTGTTTTCATCTTGGGGGGCATGATTTGAACAATTTCGAATATAAACAACCTCAGGAAGATTTCACTAAAGTGTAATCGGCTCATCTTATCCCCCTGGGCAAGAATCTACACTACTACAGGGAGCTTTCACGCATCGGCTCACCTTACCCCCTGGGCCAAGAATCTACACCACCACAAGAAGCTTTCACGCAAGTTTCACCTTTTCTGGCCCAATTGTTCTTGAGCGAGTTTAATGACCCCACCAAAATTTTGCTTTTTCTTGTTTATCTCACCCTTCGAAGCGAGCTTGGTCCTTCATTTGATCAATTTCGAATCGCTGTAACCTAAGGATGTGCCAACTTTGGTTAAAATTGGTCCAGTGGTTCTTGAGAAGTTTACAGATTGATGGACGCCGGAGGTAAAATAAAGAAAAATTCCCAGACTTCAAAACTCTACTTCGTGTGTGCGTGTGGTATAGTAGCGACGTACCATGCAGACAAGGACAGGGTACCAAATTATTTTCTTGTCAATTTAGGACAGATTAACTATTATTTACATTCAAAATTTTCGAGGAAATTTTACTAAGACTTTATTTCCAAAATCTGCCCCCCCCCCTCCTTTGGGATCCAACAGTTGCATGCCCCCCTCAAGATTTTTGCTTTTTATAAATATGGTGAAGAAGGTGTTGCTATATGAAAACCAACTCAATGAATTCTTAAAATTCGAGATTCAGTATGCAAGAGATAAAACATACCAGGTCACATGCTAATATAAATGGCAAGTGTGCATTAAGAAATGTTATTAATGTGGGTTCTTTTTTTTTCCCATTTACTGATTCTTCCATTGATTTCAAAAAGCCAATCATGAAAGTAGAAGTTCTCAAGTGCATTTTAAAAGTTTTACTGCACTGACAAAAAAGTAATGTAAATCAGGTGTCTATGAATACATATTCTCCATTTTGATGTCTGATACATTACTTACAATATCAAAGTATAACAGAGCAAAAATCTGACTATATCTGAGATATCGTACACAAGATGCTGTACATGGTACTATAGCATGTGCTTCTAAGGTGGAGATGCTTGCTCGTGATCCTATTTTACAGTGCAAAATGTACCTTAAAACTAATAAATTAAATCAAAACAGTTCAGCCAATTCAAATTTTTTTGATGCAGTCCACATTTTTATCAAATTTCAAAAAAAAAAAAAATGCAGGAGTTGTACTTCCAACTTTTTAGTGACATTACCTTTCATCAAAATCAGAATATCAATACGAAATGATATATCTAAAGTGTACATAATTAGGCAAAATTTGGAGGAGATTGAGAATTTGTCTAAATGCACAGAGACAACACATAAAACACCAATGTATGAGCTTTATGATAAAATTGTTCACATTAATTACCTTCCTGTAATCTCAGTAAACTTGGCGAATCAATACTGGTTTGTTACATCATTTTACAATCTTATTCATAGACTTAAAAAAAAAACTTTTTTTCAAATTCATTTTAAATGAATGGTCATAAGCTGCATGGGTCCTTCCTAAATCTTGTCCTGAACTGCAAAACCATCATGATCCAAATTTATTTAATGGAATAGGGTACAACAAAATCATTTACAATGCACATCATTTTCAGTTCTCCTTATGTGGACTCAAACCGACGTGACAAATAACAGTGTTGCACTTTGTAACAAATAAACCAGACATTTTTATGTGCTAAAATGATCAACAGCATCTGAACAAGTTGTGTAGCCTCATCATTTTATTCATACATCTACATGTATGACATCCATGGAGTGCATGCATGTTGCTAGATTATGACCTTACAAAATGAGTAACTGATGAATTTTTTTAAATGAGTTAAACTAAACAAAGGTGAAAGCAAAAATGTCAAAGTGAAAAATATGCCTCTAAAGATACTGACTTGTATACATCATTAAATAACACCAGAGTAAATAAATACTGATTTATAGCACAAACTTTCAAAATAGGGACATTAATTTTCAAACTCATATCCATCATTTAAACATGTTGCTGAACTTAATGACATATAATCAATTTGATAGTCATGCATATAAATCTTAGTGCTCAAGCACTAAATGCTGTTTCAAGGAAAAATAATAGCCATAGTGTAAACAGTCACTATATCAAAAATTTATTATAGAATGTTAGTAATCTCTATTTACTGGGGATATTGTTCATCAAATGCTGATTTGAATCATTTATTTACACTTTCACATCAAAAATTCATTCTGAGAAACAAAGAATAAAATCAATCAATTAATCAAACAAACAGCTAGCACTTTCTGCATAGCTCATGAGGAAATATTCTTGAGCATAATTTACATGTCCTTGTGAAACAATTGCAAAATGAATTTCTGGCAACACAATGACCAATAAAGGAACTCATCAGGAGACGAAGATATTGAGACAAGCCTTGAACACAATTTGAAAATTTTTACTAGGAAAACCCCCCTTTACAATAAGCAATTGAAAATGTTGAAAATAATACAGGAAAGAACTTTCAATTTTGAGGTGTTAAGTACTTATCCCTCAAATGTTATAAGGGTTTAAGATTATTATGAACATTAAATTAATTACAAACTTCATTTTATCAAATGTTAAACGTGTTACTGTATGTTATATATGCATAGTAAACAAACATTCCTTTCAAACTATTTTCTTTTGTAATTTTACCATTTGAATAGATTGACAGAGATTTTATTTTCCGTTTTCTACCTCCTTTAAAAAAAAAAGGATATGAAATACTTCTTAACAGTGGTTAACTTTCATAAATTTTTCTTCTCTAAAAACTCATGAAGGTACATGCAAGCTGTATAAAAAGGAAAGTAAGGTTACAATTCTTTCTTTTATCACATAACTGTAAATGGGGTGGAATTTCATTGTAGGTCTGTAGATAATCTGATTAAAAATCACATTGAAAAGGTTTAAGATTTTTCAACTTTTAAGCAAGTGCTTCTACAGGATCACCACAAGGCTCTGTTATTTTTAACCTATACCTTGTATGCGACCCTACAGCCTAAATTATTCAAAGACTTCCTAGCATCTCACATCTCAAACATTTCACTAAAATATTTGACATAAAGAGGATGGAATTAAAAGGTTGGAGCTACTTGACTATAACAATACAAGCATTAGTACTGCAACTCCAAGCCTCGATGAACAATCAAAAGGAACTAAGACTGGCATATAAAAAAAAAAGGATATCAAAATATTTATGATATTTATGGAATTGAAGATCAACTTCAAAACTTTAATATATGATCTCAAAATTTGAACCATTACACACCAACATTTCTCAAATATACATGAACTATCATTGAACATATACAATAAACGTAAATCATCAAAAGATAGAGATTTTAAAGGATCCCTTGGAAGAGCTTTAAAAGAAATCAATCTGAACTAGAATATGTTATCATACTGTAACATTTAAATAAAAATTTCTGCAGTGAACAGTAATTTGGAACTATTGTAAAACAAAAATAATAATCAACAGCTGTTCAGAACTTTTCATTATGCCAAATCAAAAAATACCTACACTGGAGAACTGCCATCCTTTCTTTTTGAGAATTTAGCACTTAAAACCAAATCTATGCAGGAACATCTCTAACTGTTTATACTATACACATCAAATTCACTAGACAGTTGTTGATCTCAAGTTCTGTAACTCTTGTAAGGCCTCTTTGAAGGTGGGGCGTTCTGCAGGATTTAAATTCCAGGCTCGAAGCATCAAGTTGTAAATCTGTTTGGGGCATCCCTCTGGTGCCTCCATTCTGTATCCTCTCTCTACATGCATCACAACATCAGCAAGGGGCTACAAAAGCAAACATAAGCAATCAAAAATTATGAAAATCATTAAAAAAAAATGTTATCAATAAGTAAAGGCATGGTCTCAAACCAAATATATGTTATGGTAGTATCTTCCCTCCCACCGAAAACTTGCAAAATATCAACTGTCTTAATGTCATCAAAGATACCAAAAACTACCTACAATTCTGGGATATGGGACCCTTCCAAATGAATACAGCTCCCACAGTAGTATGCCATAGCTCCACATGTCAGATTTATTACTAAATTTCTAATGAAAAGACAACAAAATAAATAACAGGAAATACATCAATGTAACATCAAATCAAATATCAAATAGAGAAAAATAATTAACCTACACAAAAACATATTTTTGAAATAATAAAGCATATTAATTTTTCTAGTTTGCTACTGGTACTTCAATGAATCAATACGCTTGAGTAAACTAAATGCAATATAAGATACCAGTAACTAAAGATTATTTTAACATTGATTGAAACATATTTTTTAACAGAGTACATTTATTTCCTCAGTCTGAAATATGAACTGTTTCTAAGGATACCGATAACCTACATTGTTTTTGAGAGCTTCAGGTGCTGTCCACTTGATGGGGAATTTGCCTCCCTCTGTACTATAATCTCCATATTTGGCAAGGCCAAAGTCTGAAACCTGTAAGAAACATAATCTGATCACCACATCAAATAATTATCAACCTTTCAATGACAATCATGTTTATAAATCACCAACCTTTCAGGTTACAAAGAATGGTACCAAACAGTGCATAAACTTTATTCTCAATCTGAACTGATACTGCGATGAAGTCAATTAGTAATGTACACACAGTACTTACCTTGGCAGTATTGTTCTCATTAATGAGTATGTTTCTTGCTGCTAAATCTCGATGAACTAAGTTTTTACTCTCTAGGTATTCCATGGCAGAACATGTATCTCTAAAAAGGTACATTTCTGATTTGTTATCTCTCACAAAATCAGCACACTCCTGATATTTAAAAGGTTTTCCAGTACCTACCAGTTATTTGTGATAAAACTGATACATGTACAAGTAAAATTCAGTCATCCTCTATATACATTTCATTTTTGATTGCCTTATTTTTTAAGCAAATAGAAATGAAAATGTATTATTAAGAAATATAAATGTTAAAATGCTGGTAGTACTCAGTTTAACCAGCTATTAGTAGAATTTTTGTTGAAACAAATAGCTGGTATATTGCCAATACACATGCAATAGTTTTAAACCTTCATGATCAATTAATCAAAACAAACGTGTGTGTGTGCCACTAAAGCAGTCTGCCACTATCATGGGCTCTGTGTTTAATAAGCATAGTTGCTTGTATATAATGAGATGATTCTATAAAACAAGGAAATACTGAAATTCAATTATTGAAATACTACAAATTACTAGAACAACATTATTTCTAATTGCATGTACTTACGTTGCAAAGTCGATCTGGTCTTTCTTTTGTATGACACTACGACCTCTTGACCTCAAGTATTCGACAAGATTTCCTTTTCCCATATATTCTGTTACTAGTCGAATCACCTGGTCACCAGTGACTACACCAATTAATTGTACAAGGTTTGGATGGCGTAATGATCTGCAAAGTAATAAATATATTAACAGTGGATGATTTTTCAATTGCTAATGGTGCGCAAAAATTCAATTATTTCTTAAAATGGTTTTTCAAAAGTATCAAAAAGTTTGGGAATCTCAAAATTATCTTTGCATAAATTTGTCTTTACACTTAATAAAAAATATCCACTTCTCCCCATTTTTACCCCCCCCCCCACCCTCCCTTAAAGAACTCATCTTGAAATATCATAAAAAAAATAAAACTCACTCACAAGTTACTAACAATGCACTGTTATACATGTAGTTTGAAAATAAAATTTCATAACCCATTGCTTTATTATTTTATTTTATTTTTTTTGGGAGGGGGGGGGGTGGCTTTGATTTCTTAAGGCTTAAGATCATGACACCTTTTGAACATGACCAACAACATTTAGGACTGTTAATTCATTTAAATAAAATTTACAAAATTATACTAACACAAGATTTGTGAAAAACATTTTTCTCTCTCTCCAACTGAAACTTTCATGCACCTGGAACCAACTTTAAATCATACAATGTAGCCAGACTAAAAACATTGCTGACTCACGTCATAACAGATGCCTCCTTAAGAAAAGCCTGGGCTGCACGGTCCTGGTCTTTCAACTGTTTGACAGCAACAAATTGATTTTTGTACAGACCTTTGTATACATCTGCCAAAGAAGATATGTTTTTTAATTTAAATTTCATTCGTTTTTCTGCTACGTGAGAAAACAATGATAAAATTTTAACCTGTGTTTGCATCAACTAAAATGTGTTTCTTGCATAGTCAACTACACATAAATGAACATTTAATATCTGCAATGCTTACAAGATTGGTTTCGATTTGTAGCTGTGCATTTGGTTCCTAATGAATACCACATATCCATAAATAAATAATATGACTTAAAATAAAACAATGTGTGTTCATTTAACACAGGGTCACTTAATTACTAACTGACTCTTCCAACTACAGTTCTCTGAATTCTCTAAACATTGTTTCCTAATTCTTATCAGATCAGTATTTTCCAGCAGCTAATTTGTTCAACAACTTTTTATCACCTCCAAATTCTCCTCTGCCAATTAATTCAATTTCCTGCAGATCCTTCTTCTGAATAACCCAGCCCCCAGCTTCAAAGTCCTGAATCCTCACAGCTCCAAAGCTGTCTCCTTTCTTTGGCAGTGCACGTTTTAATTTTGTACATAATCCATCTGCATCCTTCTCATAGTGCTATTGAATACAAAGGAAGGAAATGAAATTAAATTTTTTGAACACACCAAAAAATAAAAAAAAATCAAAGGCAAATATTTTCATAATATTCAATATACTTCCCTCTGACTAATTTTACCAGTTTAATTCTCCCCTTCCCTCAAGGCTTTATATATTATTTGCTGAATTTCAAAAAATGCAAGAAAACATACATTCTTCAGATGTTCTCAAAGAAAACTGAATGAAAACTATAGATTCATATTCACTGGCATTTAAAAAAAAATTCGAATGAAAAATCTTGTCCTTAAACTGATAAAACATGCTGCAATGACCAAGAAAGTCAGAATTCCTTCTTAATGTAAGAAATACAAATAGTCAGTAGAGGAAGAGAAACATAGGACCCATAATAAGATTTAGATGTAACAAGTAGACAGCTTACAGCTGTGAACAGATCCATTTATTTATCATCTTTATCACAACAAAAAACACTCAAATATGTTGTGCAAGATTATTTTTCTGTAGGCAAAATGGAATTGTTCAGCACATTTTTTAGAATGACCTGGAGTTTTCTTATTCTCAGATTTAAAGATTTTTTTTTTCTGGGATTTCCTAAACATTCAATGCCAATTAAAATACTGAAAACAACATATGCAGAAATACGATAACCATTGATCTGTCTTTCACTTAATGCTCATACTGGGTTTTTTTTTCATTGAATTGTTTGATTTATTTACACGTCAGTAGTAATTTTGCTGCAGAAGAATTTGTCAGTATGCATTGAATTCAATCAAGCACATCAACTACAAAGCATGCAAAAAGATGATGCACTTACTGGGCAGTTTGTAAGAGCTAAATTATATACACAGTGTATGTGAACCAATCAGTGACTCTTGAGTGCCTAAGTGAATTGCACTTGCATGCATGAACTTAAAAAATGCCTTTCATACTTTTTCTTGTCACAGACATTTAATTAAATTTCTTTGGAAAGTATTTCCATGTTTTAATGTTTCAATATACTAGCTTTGCACTCCTTATGACCTGAGGCAACATTAAGCTTGAGTTTACAGTCTCCTTGAAGCACTGTTTGTATCAAGTTCAGTATAACAATTAAAAGATGTACCAGATGTTACAGCTTCTCAGGAAATCAGAAAATAATAATAACCCCCCAGCTCATTGCTGGAACAAGTGTTCTTGGCCACTGAAAAATTCCAGGCCACAAATGTATCTGAAATTCCTTCAGGTGTAAATGCTTGCTACATCATTAAAAAGTAAAGCACATGGACATAAAGCAACAAATGCAATAATAACATGGCAAAAATACCCAGTGCTAGGCATTTAGAAGTTCATGAAATATCATAATGTTGCCATACATCAAAACTTAAAGCATGAGATACTGATACCTAGAGAATGATTAAATATATATCCATTGTATAAAGTTTTTCACAAAAGTCACAAAAATAGCTTAAAAATCAAATTTTTATAAGAATGAAGAATTAACTTAAAAGAAAAAAAATAAGAATATAAAAGCATTTTCCCTAGTTTTGGACATGCTGAATAAATTTTTCTAGAGAAAATTTGAGCAATAGAACAAAAATTTGTATAAATAAATCAGATCAGGAAAAATCATGTTTTGTCTGTGCATTATCCTACTATCTGGAAATGACAGATGCATGTAATGGAAATAAGAAATTGCTTGAATAGTTATATTGGCAAAATTCATAAATATTAGTTTTTATGATGATTAATGCTTCGCGGGGTTACTAAAAAATCTTCAATTCAAAGATGACCTTAACCATAAGCTTCTGACCCTCAAATATATACCAAGTCCAGGCTCCAGGGCCATAAAACTTAGATGAGCTCACCTTTGAGGTCAGTCTCACTTTTCCACTATAGATTCCTTTCGTAAAAGCAAGGCTGAGATCAAAAGTGAGCTTGTATAAGTTTTATGGCTCAGAACCAGAGCTTAATATCTGAAAATAATTTTCTATACACGTCAAGGTGACCTCAACCTCTGACTCATGTCCTAAAAAACAATAGGAGTCTACCTAAAATTATTTTCCTACTTCAAGTTAATACAAACAATTTAAGAGTAAGTTTTTCTTTTTGAAACCAAGGAGACATATGCACACCCACCCACCAGGTTGCCAACATAATACATGTACCTCATATTAAAAGCAGGGTATATAAAAATTTGATGCATCTTACATAAACAAGAAGAGAAATACCTCTACTAGCTGACTAAGGTTATCAAAATAAGTTTCTTCATCAATAGTCATCTGGTTTTTATGATAAATAATCCGATAATGTTCCACTTTATTCTGGTGACACACACTCAATGTATAGTCTCCTGGGTAGTTTACACTTTCTCGTATAAGAAAAAGTCCATCTTCATAAGGTTTGAGCAATTCTTCAGCCTTCTTCCTTTCTATTTTCCCATGGTACCATCTACAATAAGAAATTTATGCAGTGTCATGCAACATGCAATAAAGATACAAAATGCAGATTCACACAAACACCATTGAAAACAGTTACAACACTGATTAATGTACTTTACATTAATGGTGACTCAGTGGTTAGTGGATGGTGATGAACAGTTTCATGAATGACATAAATTTTTAAGGGTGTCTACATTCAAATTTGTTTGTATTATAGTACACACAAGATAATTAAACTAAAATCCCCATATAATATATGAAGTATACTTTTATGACCACAGATGCATGATATTAAATGGGGGGGGGCAATAAAAAAAATTAGAGGTCCTAAAAAGTTGCAACTCTCTTTGAAAAGATATAAAAAGTACAGTGTATAACATCTTACCCAATTTTAAGGATTACAAACTCTCCTAACAAGCAATTTCACAGAGCCTGCTTTCCAAAACCTGGACTTTCAGAGGAAACTTTTAATAGGAAATGAAAGCACCAAGTCTCTACTTTATCTTGATGTTTGAAATGGAACATAGCATGTTGGTCAATAAATACAGGGACATTTTAAGCACAAACTGAACCTAGCTCCTTACAGATGTAACAAATTGATTTTGTGTCTTGTAGAAGTTAAAAATCTTCTTGTAGAAGTTAAAAATAATGAAATACATGTTTACATCTGTTATCACTAATTTTTAAGATTACAAATTTAAGTATTGAAATCAAATGACTTTTTTTTTTAGGGTTTTTTATGTTTGAAATTTAATTCAGAAATTGTTAGTTCTCTTAGATGTTTTGTATTTAATACTTATAAATACAAAAAAAAATCAGAAGTCATACTAAAAGGAAAACATGTATCGCAAATTTGCTACATATATTTTAACAAATTTATTATATGGATATAAAGAATCACAGACATTATGAGTGAAGTTTATTCACATGTCCCTAGGACTTCACTATAACTGAGTTTTTTCTGTAAACCTAAATCTAATTCTGCATTTCATTTTGCAAAATCTAAATTATTGTATTTAGCAAACTTTCATCAGATTTTAACAATTAGCTCTCATAGAGTTTCTTTTTATTAGTCACTACCTCCTTGATATATGAATTACATATAATGGATGATCAGAGCAATACATAAGATCACAAAGAAAAACTTAAGGTATTATTTATGTATTTTATTCAAACTTTACCCTCTGATTTCTAAAATAACTAAACAATTGTCTCATTTTCACCTGGATCATAAGCATAGCAATCCACCTGAGTCCTGGTCCAGAAAGGTATGTATCTGACTTGTATCTATTTTGATGGAGGGGATAACTTCAAATTACAGTATATAATAGAATCTATACGTATAATTTATAAAATGTTTTTATTCCTGAGGCTTTGGGGCAAAAGATTCTTCAGTTGGTGCTTCAATCAAACAACTAAGATATTAATGAAATTTTACGGAAATGACAACAGTGACTTTGTACAACATTGTACACTACACTAAACTATAAAAGCATGTGACATACTGTTACAAAAGACAGTTAATAAACATACTGAAAGCCAAGTCACACAAGTGATCTAGACTGAGTCATCAGTAAGGGTTAATACAGACAACTCCACACATACTATCAGACAGGTTCTTACACATTGCTATGTCTTGAAGGCATATACTTTAATACCCACCCAAGGACTACAAATTCCTATGTAATAATTACCATACCCTGTTATACTGATCTTTATCTACAAACATACAAATTGATCCTAATAAAAATCTTGATGCCCGATCATTTCCTATTTCTTATATGATCTATTTCCTATTTCAATCTCATCCATATATATCATTACTGTGGTGTAAAATGTTAATAATTTCCTGAGTTTGTATGAGGTAAATTTTAAAAGTACTCATGTCACTGCGAACAGGAAAGAATTTGTTTACATCACATTTAAATATATGATCTATTGATGAGCCTAAATCTGATATGTACCAGCTGTCTTAATAGGTACACATGTCAATGCCATCTTCTTCCATATCTATACTACTATATTAAAATAATAGACTCGAATTTTTGGCCTTTAATACCGATAAATCGGAAGAGTACTGTCTATTGTTTTATATATTTTAAACATTATTGGTACTTGAAGATTACCAATTTGTTTTTATTTTTTCTCAATTAAGCTTCGCTAATTAATTATCAACGAAAATTCCTCAAAAAATTCCGGAAATCATCTGGATTTTTTGGATTTTACAATCTTGCGCGTGCGCATTACATTCACGCTAAATCACGGTGTTCAAATTAGAGAAGACAAAAGTATTAAGTAGATATATATTTGTTATTTTATAATTTGTCTAATAAGAAATCATAAATATATATGAACAGAATATATAGCAAATTTCCAATGAAAATTTACACGTATTTGTATTATTGTTTCTGAGTTTATCCATGCAAATGTGATTTTGTGGCCACGTGGGTAATCATTCGCCATCTCGGAGACACATTTATTATATGTTATTTACGTCTCTGGCCATCTCAACGGAGGCAAAAACCTCATGATCGTAGGAGCAATATTAATGTAACTACCCGATTTTATTTTATCCTTCCTTTCTTTTATGCTTTTTTGAGGGGAAGGGGGGGTTACAACTCCAGCTAGAATCACATTTTAGTGAAGTAGGCATTCTTTTTCCGCCAAAAATTACAATAACATTATTTTCATTTCTTAACTTTGAAATAAATCGAAATAATCAAATAACATCAATATAACCGATATTTTCAATTTGAAATGTGTCTAAATGATTGCAACTTGAATTTGTTCGCCATGTTTACTATTACCTTCAATGCTGAGATTTATAACGCGGTAAATATGAAACATAAGCTAAGGGCAAAGAAATATTTGATTCCATGCAAAAAAAATTCACATTATATTTCTTACGAGAGTGTAGTGAAATTAATAGCATTATTGTAGGCTTATAGCTTTGTTATGTAAATACATGACCTCTGACCCTGACGTTATATAGAAGGGACAGCCTGTTCTTCTAAATATGTAAAGGTTGTCGTGGTAACTACGCTTAATAGGTAGTCTGAAGTCAGCCCTTGCGGCCCGTACAGTTCATTCTATCAATGCTGCTAAAATATCAATCATTTGCATAGGCGTCGGAAGCAAATTGAAAGAGGGGTGGCTAAATGAAAGTGGAGGGGCTAAACCAACGAAAAAAGGTAAGTCCCAATTTTCAAAACCTATACTATGTCTATCTTTGCAAAAAAAAGTGTGTGTGTGTGGGGGGGGGGGGACTACGCCCCCCTAGCCCAGTTCAAGATCCGCTCCCAAATTCTCATTGGCTGTCCCAAAATAAAATCGGTCAAGGTCGGTAAACTTTAAAGTTTGGTAAACTCACACTTTACTAAATATTTTGAAAAAAAAAATATGCTTTGAATAATTACATCAAAAACATTTATTTTAAAATGTTTCTGATTACATTGTATGATTACAATTAAAAAATGGAAATGATATTGTATGATCCAAAAAGAGTTGTAACCCCCCCCCCCCCAACCCCAGGAAAAGGCTTCATTATTGCAGCAAGAAGTACTTTCAAGTTCCTACTTTCCTACTTAGGATACCCTTGGTAAATGTCCGATATGCACATGGATGCATTCATAACAATGTCAACCCGTGCACGCACTGGTCAAAGTCTAGTAAATTTAATGTCATTAAATGATAGGTCAATGGATGTTAATTTAGTGGTCTCATTTCTTGTGCTCCTCTTAATAATTAAGTTTTATCAATGATTCTACTTAAATGTTATATGAAAGATAAACCTAGTTTATTATTTCAAAACTTGTTAGACCTTATGAAAATGATGGAGTGACATGATTTCCAGGTACCAGGTAAACAGTTTTCTTTCTGTGCCTTAGATAATATTGATATTTCAGAACATCCCATATAAAAGAGGAATGTTGGCTCAGCAGCATCATAAATTGCAACCTATTCATTATCAATTCACCCTGATAAAAATTAGTAGAGGACACACAGTCATGTCTACACCTAACTACATGTAACATGCAGACTTAGATTTGCCCAACCCAATACAGAATACACCATTAAGACCATTACCCATGTTAGGTAATTCTTTATAAATAGAGGATATGTACATTATATATGTACAATACATAATTTTCTTTGCTTCTAAAATACACATCATCTTGTGCATGTAAATTTGTTTTTGTATATATCTTTGGGATTGTTTATTTGTTTTTGTTTTTTGTTTTGTTTTGTTTGTTTGTTTTTTTGGCTAGATTTCTATTTCCTTCAGCAGATATCTGCATGAAGTAGCAAAATCCTAACCTTGAACATGTAAGAAATTCCACTAAAACCTGTGCTGAACTTTTTATCTTATCACAATGACATAACAGATATCAATACCTTAAAGCTTCCTTTAACATTGATAAAAATTGCCCCATAAATGCACACAAGAAACAAACTGTAAAGTCACCCATTTGTTTCTCCCCCTCTACTGTGTCTTCTTTAACCAGTGTTACAATACCTCCACAAGTTGTATTAAGTTATCAAATAAACAGTCACCACCATCCACTTCTAATTTGTTGTTCTTAGCAATAATTCTATAATGGTCCACCAGACCCTCAAAGTAAATGGACAGTGTATAATCTCCATGAAAATGGACACTGTCCCTAATAAGGAAGTCCCCCTCCTCACGGAAATTATTTAACAAAGCCTCTGCCTCCTCGCGGGAGATTTTACCATGATACCAACTGAAAAAACAGCAGCAAAAGGATTCTCAGGCAATGGAGACATCGTAATTTTCAATTCCAAAATTTTTTAAACAGATTATTCATTATTTCAAAATTATTTAATTTTCTAATCATACATTATTATTATTCTTTTACTTTTTCATTGTACAAATTTCTTTCACTTAAATAAATAGGGTTATTTTTGTCTTATCTGCAGACCTTTGGGTATCTGAAAACCTGACTTTATCCTGTTTGATTATATTATATGGCAACTTTCAAAAAACATATTATTTCACTATCTTTTATCCAGCTTTTTGGGAAATTACCCTTTCTGAAATACTTAAGAAATTTATTGACATCATTATTGACATCATTGACTTATCCAGGCATGGGATCTTTTTTACATTCACTGAACTGTCATTTCTACAGCTACATACACTTACAGACAAATAGGCAGAATACTTACGGCATTGCTTGTAAGTGAACTTCTTTCCTTTTCTGTACATACGTGGCAGGCACCATTCCTTCTTTGCCATTATCATTTCTTCCTTTATACCAATTGGGATCCTGAAAAAAGGAAAAAATAAACCTTACTAATAGAATACAACTCCTTTGATACATTTTATTATCAATACACTGTATGCTTCTGTAGATTTTGTTTAAGTATTTTAAAATTTGTAAGAAATCATTTATAATGATCCTATCTATTTGCATCAAATAACTGCTGGGAAAAGTATAAATATTTATCAACTGCCTTGTTGAATACTTGTTAACCATTGTGAACAGATACTGCTCAGTTTAGATACAAATACTTGTTCAAAAAAGACTGTGTACTTCAGTGAAACAATACACAGTAATATCAGGTAAAACTTAAGGCCTATAGGCCACAAGGCTCAACCAAGTCACCATTCTTTTCCTGCATTTTCTTTAAAGTGCTTCATTTATAATATACATGTATATTCCTTGATAAAACTTCTACTGTGGCCATATCCAAGTCCAAAGTCTGATTTGAACAATGGTTTCAAACTAAATGGAAAGATAAATTTCTAAATGGAAAGATTTTAATATTAATATGCTTAATTGTGACCCTATTGTTCTTTGAAAAAAAGATCAAAGAGTTTTCCTACCTACTTTGACCATCTGTTTTGGTCCCATCCTAACCCACCCTAGTCCATGGGATGATGATTTGAACATGCTTGTATCTACATTACAAGAGCATGCTTGCATAATACATGTACTAGGAATACAATGTATTGTTCTTCAAAAAAAAAAAAAAGATTTCTTTTATTTTCCCACTTAAAATTGGGAAGCTTTCATATAATTTTTATCTCTTTTTAGCCCTGTGGTTCTTGGGAAGATTTTTAAATGACCCCATCCTATTTTCTGTATTTCTTATTTATCTTCCCTTGAAAAAGGGGTTTGGTACTCATTTGAACAAATTCAAATACTTTCAGCCAAGGATTTTGGCACACTTAAACTTAAGTCAACAATCCAGACACATGAATTTACAATAACATAAAACCTTTTTACATGTTTGAAATGAGTTTAAATGTTATGACACTCTCCCTGTCATATATATCATGTATATCAGCTCAAGTTTACATTAAGACATTATATCTAGGTAGTTCAGAAGAGTCAGACTACAGATAATGCACAGAAATACTACTGACAGTAACCATAACCTATTATGCGGCTCAAGTGAGCTTACAACTACATAATGTAATCACTAAAAATGTATTCGAGAAAACTATATTTTCATGTAATTATGCGTGACCATCTACTCATGAAATTTTCATTCTTGCACATATTTTCATTATTAGAGATTATACGCAACAATATCAGGAATTCATAAAAAAAAAAAAAAGATTTCTTGCTTATAAACATTAACTTTCTTGCAAAAATAAGGTGTCGTGAAAATTTGGTGATCTACAGTATACAGTTAATTTGCAAATTATTCACTCTGTTACAATATCGTTAAAACAGGGATTTAATCAAATTCTAAGTAGTTTTTCAAGCACCGAGAGCATTTTGTGAAAAATACCAAACAAGATATCACTTACCCTTGTGGACTGTACAATAGTTATCACATCTCCTTTTTTAAATGGTAAATCATCTGGTGAAGATCCATCAAAGTTATAATTTGCCACAACCTGAGTACCTTTTGGCCATGTCTCATGATGCTGCTGACAGAGAATTTTCACAAGTTAACAGCAAAATTAACAGCTTTATAGATGTCTATGATGTCTATTTGACCATAATAAAAACATAATAAAGTAAAATGCATATACACATACTTGACATTTCATACATGTTTCCACCATGTATGTATCAAAATTCAGAAAATTTATTCTGCAATCACGCATACTCTGTACAAACAGAGTTTTATGACTCCTAGCTAAAATAGCATTGTGTCATATCCTTTCAAGTAAATCAATCTGCTAGTACACAGAAAGTTTTTTGACTAGACATTTGGGGAAAAAAGTTGATACATGTCAGGGTCAGTAACTTTCTTCATGTCGAAACTATGTGACTACATGCAATATTCTTCTAATCATTTAGGCAAAGTGAAATTCAATCCTAAAATTTTATTCAGCTGATAAAAGCTTAAAAAGAAAAACAGAAACTCTCATCTTCATGAAATCTAATATATTTCTTTGAAAATCTGTACTATGCATTTAATATACCTGATGATTCTGATCCATGGGCATTGTCATCTGATAATCACTGTGTTATGATACATTCCATACACAACCTACAATACATAAAATAACACTTCTTATACAGCATTAAATCATTTGTGTACTATCAGTGCATTACATAACAAATAAATACTATCTACTATTGGTGCATATACCAGGAAATCCCCATCTCAAAAAACAACAGTTAAGAATATATAGAAATACAGATTTCTTGGCTTGTGATGTAACTTAACCTACCAAACTCCTAGTCATTTTGTTTCCTTTGTCAATGTATACAACAACAGTACATCTCATGTTCTATTTTAATTTTTCATCGTGACTTAGTACTTGAAAACTAGACATGAATTACAATGCAATTATGCATTTAGTCTTACATAAAACACACTGTGGCATTTATTTGTATTTGGAGGAGGAGGAGGAAAACACATTCTGGAAATTTGATTTCTAAGAAAAAAAAAAACCTGCTGATCTGGTCAAGATACCAGGAAGAACAACAGGAAGTGAATGTACCAGGTGTAACTGTAGATTCCCTTCACCTCCCCCAACTGTACAGTCATTGAAATACTTCCTTGTTCAGATATTACACTTAAACCAAGTACCAAGTTATGGAATAGGTGTTGATAAGAAAGAAAAAACAAGTACACAATGAATTTCTGTGTTCTGCCTAAAAACATACTTCACTAGCCATATCTCTGCTAGCAACATAAACTATCAGTGAGCCTTATGAGTATGTACAGCTATAATGCATTTTGTGGATGATCCATTATTACAGATTTCTGATTGTTGGATTATATAAAAGTACTAGACTTTAATGATAAGCAAGTGAGACTGACAGTAGACAAGATTGTGTCATGGTATGAATACTTCATAAAATTTCAAAACAAGTAAAGTCTTAGTACCCTCAAAAGTCAAAAATAAAAGCAATTCACATCCTAAAACAAACCTTTTCCAATTTATTTGATATATTAGTATATGAAGAAATGGAATCTAGTAATTAGCACAAATTAGCCTTATATTTGTTTATTTATGAAATGTCAATTTCAGTTAGTATTTCTCATGTTTCCTGCAGAGGGAGAAAATTTACTCAGTAGTAATTGGCCTTGGTGGAGCAATGACATTAGAAGACCAGTCAATAGCCTTGGTATCTCCAATCCTTTATAATACGATATGTGCATAATATGTGTACATTTACAAAAAAATATATATCAAATGAATGCATTCCTTTTGTATTTGTAATGATAATTACTAATCAATGCATCAAACATGATGAGATGTGTGTAAATAAATACACCTAATATTGATGATATATGACATTTCATATTTGTGAGTAATTTTGTGCTGAAATACAAAACACTCTAAAGTGCAAGACTAGCTGTCTCTGGAAAAATTCTTCCTTGGTCAAACAACCCGAAAAAATCCTTGATTAATTACTCATTGACAACTGAAAATGTAAGCTAAATATACTGACATAAATTGATAAAGGATATTCAAAAGACAACTAAAATGTCATCCTCATAAACAATCTGCATGATACAAGAATTCAGATATTTTACTTGGACACTATCAGAAAATATGCTGTTCTATGAAGACATTAATCTTGAGTGATCTTATGTAAGGAGGCATATAATCAGGGTAAACACTTCCTCAATTATTATTTAGATGAAAAGGACCTACAATAAACACTTAAAAGCAAAATCATCTGACCCTACTATATACCCTTGAAACACAATGAAAGTAATAAATTGTCATAAAAAGTCGAATTTTAAAATTGTTGCATGCATGTCTTTGTTGATTAATGAACATAACCTCTCCTTCTGCAAATATAACAGTCTTAATTTACTTTCATGTACAGTCAGGGGTGAGACTGAAATCCATCATTTTTAAAATGACGATTTTTAGTCATAAAATAAAATTTTTATTATGACTAAAACTCGTCATTTTTAAGAAAATGACGAAAAACAGTCATAAAAATTTACAGTGTTTCTAGAATACCGAGTTACCTCTCTTTGAAAAATGTTAGATCCACCAACCGAAAAAAGGACAAAAAACATCGTAAACAAACTTCATTTCTCTAATACAGTTGACTTCAATACTGGTTATGTTGACAGTACAAATTTCCCAAGCAAAAATAAGAGTGGAAGAGTTATTTGTCAATTTATTTGCATTAAAAACCAAAGAAGACGAAAATGACGATATTTCGTCTTTTTTCAAAATGGAGGGTCTGGGCGCACTGAAATATCTCGCTTGTTTTACGGGGCGCACTACTTTTTTATGGCTTTAACTTTTTGTTGGGACTTTTCTCTACAAGTACGTATTCTTCCAGACAGTGTACTATATGTTTTTATATGGCTAAAAGCAATGTAAAAATGGCACATAATTTCTACCAAAATTGGACATTTTACCACTAAAATAATAACTTTCACCTTCCATGTTGATGTTCTAACGCATGTGGTCGGCAGTAATTAGTGACGCGGATGAAATGAAACTTACGTAAACACTCTTCTTGCAGCGGTGAATTCAAATTTCGCTTTTATGTAACCAGGATAGAAGAATTATTTTGAAAAAGAAAATATGACGATAGCAAGTCATATTGACAAAAATGATGAAAATACGTAGTTAGTAAAAATGACGATTATCCATCATTTTTAAAAATGACCGATTTCAGTCTCATCCCTGACTGATGTACGTAAACTGATCATAACAAATGTAAGTCCTACACAGATTCTGCCTCTCATAACCTAGCTATTTAAACTTAGAAATACTGAGCTGCAAGTCGAGTCACAAATGTACCAATTGTGTGTGTGGTCATATTCAGAAAACAACTCATACTTTACAGATATGTATATTATTGACAAATATACAGAAGAATTTCCAACTGATACAGTTGTAACAAGAAAGGAGGACAAGACAAGGATTCAAACCCGGGACCATTGAATCTCTAGTCAGGTGCTCTACCCACTGAGCTATTTGGTCACCAGTGATCGAACCTTTCTGCCCTGCACTAAATCATATTAGCCAACTACCCAATGCTTGTCCTTGTATGCCTTTAGGTTAGGAGTTAGTAACATCAGTGTTTGACAATAAAGAATAATGAAATATCACAAATTCAACAATACAATATATCTATACCACAACATAATTATTACTTTAATGGGTTCAAGAAGCTAGCACTTAATTTTGATTTTCCTTCCTGGAATACACTGAGCACTCTACCTGTTACTTGACATACCTTATTTACGAGCTGCCTTTAAATATCACCGAATATCCACATTTAATAAATTTTCCAACCATTCTTGATGGTTTCATTATCCTTCTGAATTACTGACATAGATGAAAATCACATGAAACACTTACTTTCTATACATTTCATTGTAGTAGTTTAGAGGAACAGGAAGAGATGTAGATGTCGGCCATGTAATATTTCACGACAACAACGCCATCTATGGGCAGATAACTCCGTCTTTACCCACAGTCGCGGGAAAATTCAATTTAGCTTTCATTAACACGGTGTATAGGCATAACGAACCCTTTTCGTTGAAACGGAAGCTTTCAGAAGAATTAGATACTTTCTGCTAAATTTTCACAGACTCAGTAACAATGGAGTAGTACTAAGAGCGGTGACCCTGAGAGCGGGATTAAAAGGATAGATAGATTTTTGCATTAAATCGTTGATATCATAATATAAAATAAACGTTGATAATTTTTTATGAACACAAGAAAACCAGAATGCTTACTAATTATGAAACATCCAATAAAAACGAACCGTTAAGGTTTTTCTACCAGAATGCATTTTCTGGCAACTGGCCTTTTCCTTTGCTATTAAGTTTAGCTATCAATTGAAATATTATCGCACGTATTAAACTATAAGTATATGTAATAATAACTTCCTTTTACTTTTTAATAGTTTAATTTTGCTTGTATTTGACGTCTGTACATATCACTTACATTTTACCGAGGTCCTCCTTATCCAGGCACAGGCGCCTGAAGTGGGGATCGATAGACCCCCCTCCCCCACTTTAATTTAAAAAAAAAATGTAAGAGCTTGTGATTAAACTGCAATATCAACAGACTTCGTTGCAAAACGAACGATCACCGATGCCAAACCAACAGTATTTACACCCCTACCTCCCTTTCCAGGCCCGTAGGAAGCAAATTCAGTCGGGGGGGGGGGGGGGCACAGCCATACATTTTCAGTTGAGGGTGCACTACCAAAAATTTCCTGACAAGCAAAAAAAAAAGGTCATCAGACGTTTTTATTGAGGGGGGACAAGCATATAGTATCTATGTTTACTATAGTAATCTATATATCGGCAAAATTATTGGGGGGGGGGTGGAGGCACGGCCCCAAGTCCCCCCCCCCCCCCGGGTTCCTACGGCCATGCTTCCCAATGCTTTCTCCCCCCCCACCACCAATTCACGTTTTTCATACGTTATTGATTTTGTTGAAATGCTGGACCCCCTCCCCCAAAACAAACAAAACTATTTCCGAGTTTGTTATAATTGTTTAGTGCCTAGGGTGTATAGATGAAAATACTTCATAAACCTCGGGGCACTTGTACTTACATGTATTTTTGATCATGGAGTCAATCTAGTTACAGATACAATATTTAAGAGCTTTGAAGATGACATTGCTCCTTTTTGGGGGATTGTAAAGCCTGGATCTTACAAAGATTATCTGAAATGCGGAAATATTCTATCTTTTGTGTTACATGAATTTGAAGATAAAAAAGGAAAGCGCGCTCATGATCAAATCACATATATTTTTATTTTAAAACTATATTTATAAAATGTATGTACATGTATATAATTCTACTTACTAGTATTAATAAGAAGTACGTCTCTGAAACGGTATACTGTTAAAAATTTAATTATAAATATAATTATTCTAAATACATATATATGGATTTCCATAATTTACAGGCTTTCATTCCATCTAGCGTAATTCAGATTATGACCGTTCTTTTTGGCACGCCATCTAGCGTCAATTCAGTTATCGACTGATTGTTTTGCATCTGTGATCATTCTTTTTGCAACGCAGTCCGTTGACTTTGCAATCGAGTCTATTGATTTAATTTCAAGCGGTTTGTTCTGTATTTCATTTTTTTTTCAAAATTAATTGTTTGCTTTGCACGCATTAACGTCTTCTTTACCCTTTCCGCTGTCCATATATAAGGAAAATGAATGTGGAATGTAAATATTGCATAGGGAAACTACCAGCTATTTAGACTAACTCTAAACACATATTGATAATTAAAGTTTATTTTGTTTTCAAATTGAAGAAATTCCATACCATATTAGAATACAGGGAACTTTTTTTTCATTTGCTAGAGATCTAGAAGTTTTAATAATTCTCATGTGTGAGATTTTCTTCATTCAGCAATATGAGATAAATTCTCTCTATTTTTTTTAAACTCTTTGTATATCGAATAAATTGACTATCTTTCAAATTTTGAATAAAATTCAACAACATTCAAAGAAAGCCTTTCTTTTTTAACCTTTATTTTTGAATTTTAAAAAACCCTAACTTGGAACCTAAACGAAAAACCTTAACTTGGAATTTGGACAGTTATCTTTGTCTTTAATTCTAAACTTCTCGTTTGATGTTTGATTCTTAACTAACACTAGCTAGTTCTATTTTAGTAAAGTTGGAATGATGAAAATGAACATCAGACAAAACCTGCAGAAGAGCATACGAAATAGGATATATAGCCAACCCTGTTTGAACACGTCATAAAGAAAGAAGATGACCGAACAAGGCGAGTAAAATACCTCTTTTCCGACAAATAAGAAAGTGAAAAATTAAATTTAAATAAATTATTCGTTTATGAAATATCATACAGACACCAAAGGGAGAGGCAAAAGAATCAATGCCTTTTATTTAAACACATATTTTCCATAAGAATGGGTCTTTACATTTTTTTTATTTGAAAGATTATACTCAAAGTACCGACATACGTAAAAATATACATTCTTAAGTTAACAAAAACATAGAGTTAAGACCCACTAGACCTTAAAATCACACTTTATGACACAACATTCATACCTTTCCGAGAAATATTTGAAGTCTATTTACTCAAGGGTCAAATCACAAACATGATTTTAATGCCGAAATATTTGGTATGAGCGGTATTGCGTATGGGTTAGCGTGTTAGTCTCGAAGGAAAAATCAATTTTTCCTTCGAGACTAACACGCTAACCCATACGACCATATGACATAATGATTCAGGATTTTTATTATTTTGGTTCGAACCCCAAGAATACCGTTTTAAATCACAGAAGGATTTTTGCCGAAAGAATTTGCCTCAGAAGAGTTTTGATCGTCGTAAGTTAATACCTTACAAATGATAAGAACTTTACTCTGAATACTAAAGTCACAAACTGAAATGACTTTTATACATTTAAAGCTAAAGGCATTTTGCACCCCTTGTTCGCCCGTCTCCTTTAAGACTTTTCTGCACTGGCACTTTAACGTAAACGCCGATGTAGTCCAGGACCAGTACATATCCATCTGTTTATTTTACGTTACGCACAAGACAAAGTTGACATTTTGTTGCTGTTTTTATTTTAATTCTATAGAAAACTAATACTGATCAATATCAAAATAACATTTCGTACACAGTATGGACTTGAATTCAATTAATGCGACCTATATACTTAGACATGTACATTATCTCAGTCGTATCCGTACCAAGTATACATGATTACTTTTCATCTAAAAAGTAATAGAAACAAGATGCCCATGGGCCACAACGCTCAACTGAATCATTTTTGCCCTGCTGTTCTTCAGCAGCAGATTTTTCCCCTATGTATGCCTATGTAAACCTTTGACCTCCTGTCGTGGCCCCACCTTATCCCAAGGAACCATGAAATGAACAGACTTTCAATCGACACTACTTTTGGATGTTTACATATCATGGCTTTGCTGTTCTTGAGAAGAAGTTGACAGATCTTTCATATATATATTCACATGTGAAACTTTGATCGCCTATTGTGGCCCAACCCCACCCTGGGGACCATGATTTAAACAAACTTGAATTTACGTATGGCCATTTTATTTCAATAAACTTGAATCCTTTTCAGTCAAGGATGCTTTATGGTAAGCTTGCTTGAAATTGGTCCAGTGTTTCTGGAGATGAAGTGAAAAGTTAACATGCAGACGGATGGACCTATAAACCAAGACATGCACATGTTCTCAGTCATACCCTCACTTAGTATACTTTTTAACTAGAAGAGATTCGTTTTTAAATTCAAATAGAAAAGTATCCTTTATTCAATTAAAAAACAAGAATTGATGTACTATGATCATTTCATTTAATTTTTTTAATGATTATTTCAGCTATTCTTACTATACATGAATAGATTCCGTAGACTTTCTGTGACATACTTCAATACTTTGAGTATCCTCTTTCTTACAAGCTAAAAGTCCACATTATCGTCTTTAAATCATTAATTTTTGGCAAGCAGACATTTCATATATAACTTCACTAGTTATGATTTTAAAATTCAACAGAATGAATAACGTGAAAATTAATGTATAAAGTAATGTATAAAAAATCAGTTTATTAACATTGTCAATATCTGTCGTTCCATTCGGGTCTCTCTGCTATCGGAATCGGTGCTTTCTCCCGTCTTAGTCCTGATGCGCCTTTCTGTAATTCAAATAAAGAGAGAAACTTTTTAAATCAAACTTCGTTTTATTAATTTCATAGTCTTTCACAATTAATTTATTAAAATATGTAGAGAAGAAAACTTAAAAAATCCCACGTTTCCTTTTTTTAAGTAAAAATAACTGAAACTCATTTTATTCCGCAAAGCTTTTGAAGTACAGTGTAGTTTTCTATCTCACATACGAAATCCTTGAAAAGGTAAAAACACTTTTCTATTATATAACCCATCATACGAATTGAAGCATATTCTATATTTCAGTAAAATGTGTACAGATCACAAAATTGTCAAACAATTTAGTGCAATTGTATCCTCTTTCTATATGTTACTAATACATTCATACAAACATAACATAGACAAGAAACAGTCTTGCTGTAAATGCAACCTCGCCTTAACCAAAGAAAATGCCGGTGCAATAAAAAAAGGCCAATTTCATTAAATGGCGTAAACCTGTTTTTGCATAAAACCAATCACCATAAAATTTTACTTTGACTGACTGTACATGCGAAAATCACGTAAACATTTTGATAGTGTCAATTGAATAAGATTCCATGTAGACATTCCGTACGTCCAGGGAAACATCTAGAAGATAGATAGTTAAAATGTTTTTGTTAAGCAATTGATCTGAAAATATTAAGATAGGACTGTTGTATTTCGTATTTCTAAAACTGTGAACGACATTTCTTATTACAGACTGTCGTTGATATACATGAATGTAAAAACCCAAGGCACAATTTTTACAAAAAAAAAAAATAATTTGATGTACCGGTATACATGCATACAAGATTTTTAATGTGTACATGCTTGAGTAATTGAGAATTTCTGTTAAAAATCTTGTATGCATGTATACATCAAAGTTAAACAAAATTTCAAAATCCGTTTCCATTCAAAAAAATTTAATCTGATCACGGCGTGTTTACATATATAGATAAAGCCAATCAATAACAACTGGGTCTGCACTCATTGTTGAAAGCTATTGTAAACATGTCACATTCTGTAAAATATTTATATGGGATTCCGATGAGGGCTTTAAATTGTTGTTCTAGCATTGGTACTGGTTTAACTTTTAAACTTATTATGTGTGTGTATTTACACTGATATTTTTTATAATCCATTAACACAAAAGGAAATTTAACAGTTATGTTCAAGATGACTAATATGAAGTTCGTGTTGACAAGTTACAAACCTTAATAATAGCAAAGACAAAGTCTATTTGAATAAATCCCTTTTATGTTCCCAGTAAAATATTTCAACAAAATTAAAACTTTAATTAAGATATAAGTGAATTAGTCACGAGACCTTAATAATAAATTGATAAGAATGAATAATTTTAGCTTATTCTTACCTAAATTATCATCATGTGATTTTTATAATTTTCATTCTAATTCAGAATTTGTTAATTAATTAAATCTCATTCAAATCAAACAGATTGATACCTTTGTAGAAGATGCTGATTTCTGAACACTAGTCCGGGAAACTCCAGACCCAGTCCTTTCCTTCCTGCTAACTAAATCCCCCGAAGTTGCCCCTCCTGGTTTTCTCGCACCAGGACGACTAGATACTGTCACCTGCGCCGCTCGTCTGTTTAACTTTGCACTATATATTGCAGAGGCCACACGTGGGTTTTGTTCATTGTCCGTTTTTATCGGAGGTAAAGGATCTTTTTTCTGCAACTCCATTCCTCCTAAGGCTTTTGCTGTTGAGGCGCGACCCTCTTTAGATGCTCCTGGAACAACAACGATCATTTGATTCAGTATTGCTTGATCCGCAGCATCTAAAGTATGGCCTTCCTCTCGCCTTCGCAATATTTCTTTAAGTTTTCTATTGATATTGTACGCTTCCTGTAACAAAACGTCAGTGTCCTCGTCTGTCAAATCAACATTTTCTAACATTTTCGTAATTTCTTCCGGATTGGCCAAGTTAAAGTTGTACAATTGATTAGGTGAAAGCCCATTGCTTCTTGCAGAATCCACAGCCGCAAGCTCTTCCAGAGTTTTCTCTGTTGTGTTTGAGTTTACAGTACATTCTGTTCCCTCTAAAACGATACCAGACTCCGGTGACAAGCCTCGACTGTGTGTTGGACTCTCATCATCCATCATAAGTCTTTTTTTCACCAACAAGGTAGTTCCCTCATTGTCTCATTTTTAACGCTTAGCCAAAGGCAACGATGTACCTAACGGTGCCAAGAGCGTCATTCGAAACGGAAGTTTTTATTTTTATTTCGCCGCCTGGTGGTAATGGCGAGAAATCATACAAACATGAACGTATTCGTAAAGGATTAAATTGTAATAAAAGATATTATTAAACTCTATTCTTACTGTAACAGGAAAACTTTCTTGGAATTAATGGAATAAACATTGAATACGTTTGATATTCTTTATTTTTCTACGATAAATCTTGAATTGATTTTGATGCGAATAGATTTTTGTAAGAACTAGCAAAGATAAGGAGCAGAATTAGAGGAAATTCTAAAGAGAGATAGCGTGGGGTAGGAGGAGTAGCTGAAACAATATAAATATGGAGACAAAAGGAACATTCATCGTGCTGCTAGCATCTATCCTTAGTGTTCCTATGGCGTATTTTGTTAACATGATTCCGGGAATTGACAAAAACCCCGCTCCAATATTCATAATAGGTTTATTGTGCCTTCTGGTTGCCTTTCTCATTCCAGCCATTGCAAAATTCAAACAGTTTGTCCAAAATGACGATCCCCTTTACTATGGTATTTGCTTGTGATACTATAAACTAAACGGTCAATGCGAAAAATATTTTGAGGATGTATAATCTAAATGCATATATCCTGGTTCTTTGAATATTTGAACACAAGTTTCGTTTGTTGCTCACTGATTATCAGTTGATATTGTTATTATTTTGTTTTAGCTATGAGCATATTGACATTTGCTGCAGTAATTGATCTCACCATTGCTCTGGAGAATGACAACATTGTGCACAGTGTTATGGCGTTCTATTTTGTAAGCGGCGAGCCTTATCTGAAAAGTGGACATGGTTCAGGCATCAATTATCATGATGGGATCCTTCATTTTGCTTGTTACATAATTATTTTGCTTGCTATTGACAACAGGTATGTAAAAAAAATCCTAATACTATATTCACTAGAAAAGTGTCCTAATTCATCCTCCTATCAACTTGAATGTACTAGTCTAATAATTTGATTTGTATGTTTTTTCCATATCTTATCACGTTTATGTATGCTAGATTAATAGGGATTCAATAGCTCATTTGACTAGAATACTAGCTGTTACTTAAATTATTAAATACCCTGGGTTTAAGTCATGGGCAGGACTTTGTTTTGATGAATGATAATTTTTTTATACTTAATTATAAGGCATTGAACTGTTGAACAGGTACATCACTTTAATGGTCTTATGGAGTCCATAATAAACATGATAAATTTAACTTGTGTATATTGTCTGCAAGCTAAAGTCATCAAGCAAAGTCAGAAATATAAGTTTAAGCTGTATTCACGATTGTTTTCTGACTATGATTTTTGTCCCCTACTTAGTAATATATTTATCAATTGTGCTAACTGAAAAAAAAAATCACTAATTAGAAAATTATAAGTAGGTCATAAACTTGATAATATACATACTGTCATTTTTAAATGTGTTTCAGCTTTTTTTTTAAAGTTAAAAACTAATTTATTTTTAAAATAATCCCATATAATTTGATGTCAACATTTGTTTTAGGATTTTAAACATGGTTTTTAATTAAATTCACTACTTTCTTTTCTGGCTGTGACCAAGTATGAATGAAATTCCTGACCTCCCATATACTGTATATACTCACCTATAAGTCAGTATTTTGGGAGTTAAACTTTGGTCCAAAACTCTTTATCCGACTTATACTCAAGTTATAAAATTATTGGTATTTTAGTGGGTCAATCCATCTAATTTTAGCTTTAAAAATACAACCGACTTATAGGCGAGTATATACTGCAGTTCACAAGACCAGTAACTTTTCAGCACAGCTGACACAATATTTTCTGTAATTATTTTGAAAATCTGGACTTGTTATTAAAGGTTAAGTAGATTTTTCAAAAGTTTCATACTCCCTCCAGCCCCCCCTTTTTTTTTAATAAGTTGCATGTGTAAAGTAAGTGAATAAAGTGTTTGTCCATGGCATCAGATTCATTCAGTTTGACAAAATAAACACAATGATACTTATGAGTAGACATAATTTTTAAAAAAAATTATTTTCAGGAAAAATTACAGAGAAGTGGGCTTGTACTGGGGTGGATCCATAGTCAATAGTCTAATTGTATTGATGCTAGGTGGAGCTGTAGGTAAGGCAATATATATTTATGATATTATAGATATTGTCTGAAAATGTGTTTCTTTTTAATATGTCCCCACTGATGCTCCTACTGTTCAATGAGTAATATGATTATTGTTTCTTGGTATATAAGAAACTGCCTTGATGTGTGTTATAAATTGTTTTGTTGTACCTTATAGGGAAACATGGAGCAAGATGGTCAATGTTGTTGAATGTTATATACATGGTGGTTCCTATTTGGATTACTAAGAAAGTTTTAGATAAACCACCCAATATAAAGGTAACAATTGTATTGGAATGAATGTATATCTGGAGGAAAGTGTTGCTTGTTATACTTTTTGAGTTGTGTATTTGTCAGTGAAATCAATAAAGTCTTGACAATATTGAATGCATGGAAATGGATAGTTGCATACTTGTAATTCTTCATTCATCATCAAAACTGGAGAAATATTAAATAAGAAAAAAATTGATATGAGTTATATAGTCTGAACTAGACTTACATGTCATTTCATGACTTTTAGTTTTATAGAATTTACAAGCTAAGACTGTAAGTAATATACTTATAATTTTTGCAGGAAAAATCTGCCAATGAAAACCTCCTGAAGAGACCATTTGACATTGTAACCATTGTATTATTGCTGTCAACTATGTTTATCTACATTTTTAAAGGGCTGGTTAGTCTTTCAAAAGTCTGTATTTTCATTTTGATGGAGCTAGCATTTGATTTTTGTGCACTTTAACTTCAAGTATGTATTAAGTATTAAGTATTTTTCATCTTGAAAACAATACAATATATCCTATTTGAAAGTCACTTATATTTTATTATAGGCTGCACTAGGGTGTAATTCAGAAGTCACACAATCTTTTGTGAATAATTCTGAACCTTATCTTGGAGACCCAATAGCCTTCCCAAAACTTCAGGTTTGCCTTTTGAAATATACTATTAAAAATGTATGTAATGAAGTATATCTTGTCATACACATATTATAGGAAACATTTTTTTTATACAGATGATGACCTACTTGTTTTACTGTGTCCCATTTTGTGCATTTGCCAGTTACTCTTTAATTCATGCTCCGGCAAAGCAGTGGTTCCTTGACTGGCTTTTCATCTATGCTGGTGCAGTGTTAAATGTAAGATAACCACTTTCCAACAAAGAATTTAACTTGCATTTGTAAAAGTTGTAAAAGACAAATATATTTAAAGGATAAATCATTTTAAGTTGAGGACATTTATATTATCATTATTAAATTTTTCAAAGTAAGTGTTTTTTAAACATTACTTATTTGTATAGGGCCAGATACCATACATGTTTGCTTCACTCCACCATCTGACACCCAGCAAGTATCGTGTTCCAAAGACCTCTGAGGCACAGCTACAGTTCTGGACACAGAACCTCTTCCTCCTTATTGTTCCTCAGATTCTTCTTGTCCATTACTACTTTACCAACAGCAAAGAAGGAAAGCGGGAGAGCAGGGGTACTAGCCAATCACCAGCAAAGAAATCCGCAAGTAGAGCCAGAGGGGTGAACACTGGCTACAATCTCAGGAACAGGATCGTTCAGAACAGTGAATAGTACTAACTACACTCCTGGAATTTGGACCTTTTTTTCTGTTGGTCATAGACCAGAAGCACATTTGCAATAGCGTAGCGTCCATGTGTTTATTTGTGTGTAAACAATTTTTCAAAATGCTAATTCTCCTATAGTTTTGGTCAAAATCAATGTAACATTTTTAGCTGTAAAATTTCAATTCCAAGGATTACCTCTTCCTTTATAATAATTACAATTAAAGCAGTAGAGCTCCAGCATCATCACAGACTTCTGTTTTCCCCCACTTTAGTGTTTTTCATGTCAGACAATCAAAAAAAAAATTTTGTTGGATACCAAATATGAAGAGAGACCCCCAGTTGTTCTTTTATTAACAATGGAAAGCAAATTTTCTTAACCTTGTCATTGTGTTGTTATTAATGTCCAAAACTTTATATTAAGGTATACTTTACTGAAGAAATACGAAAGTTCATTGTGATATGTTTGTACATGATTAAATAGTAACAGACATTACTACTACATGTACCTGTATCTTTTATAGGATTTTATATGAAGATTTGAATCACATATTTTGATTAGGCTGTTTATATAAACTTTTCTTGTACATTTTTGTTAGTATAGGGCAAATAGGGTGTTTTTGCTGTTAAATGCAGTGACCATTTGTTTTACTAAAACTATTATTTTAATACAAACATACAGATTTAGAATTTAATGGTATTTATATACATTTTAGATACTTAAATTTTAGCCAGTATTTCCATTGCATATGTATTAATGACATTTACCAGATGCATATATATGTTCCTGTAGTTCTGTGAAAGTTTTAATATTGTAATTTTACCATGTGAAAACCAGAATTAGTATAAATATTAATAATTTGCTGAATTTCAGCCTTTTATAGCATTGCATATCCAAGTTGATGTGTTCTATTTTTTATACATAAACTTTTTTCTTTTGCTCAAATTCAATTATCATAAGATATTTACAGATTTAATTGCCATGTCATTGTGCATAATGCATATCTATATTTTCAGTCCCCAGTTTAAGACAATCTTAAAGAATGGATGTACTGTCTGTTTGTCTTTATTGAGTCAAGTTTTTACAATGTTTTCTCACACTTTGAGATTACAGGTTGATACTTGTGTTATTATTTTTTTTTAGCTAAAATTAGACTTAAATAACTTAGATTGATGGAAGAAATGTCTTTGTTTAAAGTTTTAGCATGGAGGTCTGGTTTAAATTCTCAGTTTTTTAAAGTTTTCGTGAAGATGTCCTGATACATGTATGTAAGGTTTACTTTCAGAAAAAAAAGATATAAGTTAAGGCATTGAATAAGATTCACAATACAATGTATTTAAAATGTTTATAAACAATGTAATTGCTGAAGATAGATATTTTCAGTGAATACCAATGATTACTAATTTTTGTAGATCTTTTTTCTTAATTATCCATTCAAACAGTCCTGAATCACCTTTGGATTAAATTACCTTTTATCATATGTTTTCATGAATAACCATTATATATAGGCCTACAGTAAAACTTGTTTGTATGCCAAAATTTTGCCTGTGGCATTGAGAACATTTAGTTCCTTTCTGTAAATTTATTGTTGAAATGTTGTCGAATTCAGAATGTTTTCTACTTCTGATATGACAAATTTCTATGGAATTGGTGGTGCCCAGATTAGACAAGTTTTACTGTGTGTATGAAGCTCAATTTAGTTTTATTTAAATTAACTGAATGTCCAATCCATGGGGAATTCACTGTACGTATTTATTAAACTCGACATCAAATGTAAAAAGTAGTCCATTTTACACAATAGTACATATACCGGGTATATCTGGGGTATATTAAATACACATGTAGTTTTTATATTTAATATACTTGCATGTCTTAAATACATGTATCTTAGCTAGTAAATTTTAAAGATAATAAGTAGTTCTTGAAAGTGCTGTAATGGTACATTTTACAGATGTATTCCTACAGTGAAAAATATATATATATTTTATATTAACTCTAGTTGTTTTGTATTGAAATTCATGCACATCTGGCAGTGGGCATTTTGCCATGAACTGAATTTTGAAGTTAACAAATATTCTTGTATTTAAGGTATGGACAATTAGGTTGCTTAATGCAATTTACATGTATTCATAAACTGTATACAAAATTATATACAATTGAAAAGGTAAAGTACTAGCATCCTTGAATAACTTGAATGAAAAAGTTTCCATATTTTAATAATCTGAGTATATATGCATTTATTTTCACATAGTTATGGCTAATGTCCAATAGTCTTTGTACAACTGCTTTAAAATATGAGAATTGAACATACAAGTACTGGGCTGTGTTCAAGATTTAAGTGGAAACAAAGCTCTATGTAAAAATATACGATCTTGAACGATATGCTAGCCTAGCCATAGCTAACGTTATTTCATACAGTGTGTTCTCTAACCTATCTGCTAGGCCTTGAATGCAAGCCTTGTAAAATGTAGAACAGTTGTGAAAAACGTTGGAATAGTATTTACAAGAGGCCGATGAGCGTTAAATGTTACCTCAGTGTAACTGGGTTTCTTATCCACAATGTTGTTCCTTTTATCTTGTGAAATTTGAGAATCCATAGGATGCACATATTTTCAACAAACGAAAAAGTTAAAACAAATTGAGTGTCACATTTTGAAAATGAGCTGTTGAGAAAAATTATATTTGTTATTCTATATAATCTTTACAATCAGTGCTTTAGGAAGTAGTATAAAAAAAATTAACGGGATGAATCCGTAACATCAGTTACTAGAGATACGGAAATTATTTTTTCAGACGTGGGTTATTTCTGTATTCCTTTTTAATAGTGACTTTGTTACAAGTAATCACGTTTATTTGTTCAGACACATTGCATAATAGTAATTTCTATATTGCTTTTAAAAATAATAATGAAAGACTATATTTCGATTCACAGAATGTAGAATCTATGCTTTTTTAATCAAATGACACAATGGATTTATTGTTCTTCTTGATATACATTGTCATGGCAAATTCAAAAAGTCCACGGCAAATGTGAGTGAAAGAAGTTCGAAAAATAAATCTAACCATTAGATCAAAATAAGTCCAAATTATTTAATTCATTTCACGTTTTTTTTTTCATTCATGATCATCAAATTCAGCCCTTGAACATATCACACAAGAGTTTTTCCATGGGCACGCTTCCAATCGTCCTGCCAAAGAATATTTTCTCCACCCTGTCTGACGGTACGAATCTTAGAGACGGAATCATCAGAAGTAGGCGTCCAAACCTAAAAAAAAAAAAATCGCTCCGTATTCTTTTCATGTGTTCTTTATTACTTTACAAATCGAAAATATCATTTGTCATAAAGACAATATCTCAAACTTGATTTTGATCCCATACTTGATTTTGTCTCTACTTAATTAATTTTAGAAATAAACAATCCTCAAAATATGTATAATTATGTAATTTGATTTTTTTTTAAATACTGAATATTCAGTAAAACTGATATACATGTACCTGACATGCTGTGTTGGGTAGTTAGATCGCACGTGCTGTGACAGCATTAACTGGGCTTGGTCTTGGAAGTTTTCTACCTGAATGGGATCTTTTAATCCACGAGTCTCTATTTCAAGGAAAGAAGACATTATTATTTTTGTGTGTGTCTTGTTAAAATTATCTACACCGCATACATTGAATATTTTTTTTTTAAAAAAGAGTTTTTAGAGAAAGCATTAGTTAGCATATTTTCTTTCCATATCGGAGAGGATCAATTATTATCTATGTCCAGACCACCCCTACTAGATGCGTAGGAGACAGGTTTATATTTTCATTACTCCATTGTTGTAAAGCGGTTTGGGTTTTGAGTCTATTCTATTTCCACAAACCGGGTTTGTGGAAATGGAATGGACACAAAATCCGTGGCTTGCGACGATGAAAGCTTTTATACCTGGCTTAAATAGAGCGATTGCTTTCAAGCAAGCAAATTCAGCAGGATCCACTTGCGTGTTTTTAAATTTTCGGAATATTTCTTGGAGTAAACGAACGTCCGGATACTGGTTTCCTGTTTTAAGGTTTGTCATTTGCGGCTGCACGGTGTCATGCGTCATAAGGAGCGGTGACGTCTCCATCGGCATCGACCACTGAATGGCGCATAGCAAGAACAATTCACTCCAAGCTTCTTCCAGAAGAATTACCTTATAAAACATTATTAGTATTTGAAATAATTACAAGATATTAGCTTAAAATTATCTTTATATTTTTCTTCAACTGTTTTGTAAATGCATTTTGTATATCCTTCAAATATAGTTCTAACATTAGCCGTGTCTACTACTAGACAAGAAACCTTGCAGTCTTTGAAATGGTCATGAAATGATCTTTTTATAATCTGTGAAAATGCTTATTAACAATGGAATTAGTTTATCTTTTAAATTTCAGAATCCAAATACCTGATCTCTGAAAGGTAAATTTGCAAATGATGGAAGATTTTTTGCCCACCGAATGGCAACAAATAACAATCGGGCTGAGCACTCGTATATCGTTTCTTGGCCTGTCGAGTAAATTAGAGGTTCTGAGTATGCATGTGGATGAGGAACGATATTCTGCTCGGTTTCAATGTTTGTGACATCTATGTTTTCATCTCGACCTTCAATAAAGATTAGATAAAATACTGAAGGATGTTCTTTAATGCCAACAAATATTTACAGATGCAAATTATCTTGGATTAGCATGTTGAATTGCTTAAGCTTACTAGATTCTACTTGCTCCAGTTTTGAGTGAGCTTCAGGATGCGACATTCCCGGGAATACCCGACTATTAGCTGGGGGACTAAAAGCCGGGTGAGTGGCTGAGATGGTCACGTGAGATTGAATGAACGGATTATCCAGCTCAGCAGGTATCTGGTCGTGGCGAACTTGTGCTGTATTTCTCGGCTGGCGTTCATTCTGCACAGCTAACAGACCAATAAATATGAAAGGAAAAAGTTTTATGTATAGCCTCTACAATCCCAAAACTCATGATTGTTAATTTTTTTTAAATCTTAAACTCGAAGACCACTAGTGATTTCCTCCCTTTTTGTTAAAATGTTCGAAAGTGTCCAAGTGTTTACGTTGATTAAAAATTGCTCGGCTAAAGTCTGTAAAATACGCATCCAAATAATGTAGTCCGAAATGTCTGACGTTTTCCAGGAGTTTTCACGATTTTGATATTTTACGTGCCAGGAAAACGTCAGAACCGGCGCCATTATGAAAAAGGAAATTTCGCTGCTCCCAACTGAACTCGATTTTCGACACTTGCAAATCGAATTAAATGTCAAATTCAAAACTTATCAATAGCACAATGATTCTAGTTCTCACCAATATCGCTTAATTAAGAAATAAGGTATCATTTTTAAACTTTTATCGGGATGTACGAGGGTGATAAAAAAGTTCGCGAACTAATTGAATTACTTTCATAAAAGAAATAAAATTATGTTTTAGTGTTTATTATTTTTTAAAATAGTCCTCTCTAATTTTAATGCACATCTGCCACCCTTCTCAAGTGATCCAGGCGGTCACGTGACATGCCCCGTAGCGTTCTTATATTTCTTACCAAGCAAGTTATTTTTTATAACAAGAATACTCCGTTTGTCACAAATGGCCAAATCTCGACAATAGGATGGGTGGATAAAGATATCTTTTTCCAGAATGAGTATGGTGACCATCACAACCCGACTCTTTTGTCTTGTGTGCGTCGCTTTTCCATTGTGGATAAAGTATGGGCGCCTTTTTTTTTTTATCATATCTCATACCTTTAAAGTCTAAAGTAAACGATATTTAAGGGATTTAATATTATTGTTGAGATATTCAACTATTTTTTTAACTGTAACTTGGCGATCTTTCATAACAAATTGCTCAACTAAAGACAGATCTCTTCCCC